TTCTTGTCAGTTTCGCTTGCACAGCGACTGCTACAACAAACAGCGATCGCTGCTGCCGCTGGTGATAGTCTTAACTTGTTAATGTCGTATACTGCCACTCTCGATGCTGCAGCTGCTACAACAATCATCGTAATTTCGATATCCTGAGAGCCAGACAGGCACATAAGAGCTGTACTATAGTGGCCGAAATAATTACCAATACGATGCTGGGGGTTCATAAGTACTATACTTAACTACAGTATAATCTGCAAAATCTGTTCTTATGGTTAAGGCCCCTCTACTAGGTATGTGGGACTTTGGATTTCCAAGCGGGCAGCATTGCTCTTCACACCTGCGATTTAAACCCTAAACCCTAAACCTAAACCCTGAACTCTAAACCCTAAAGCCTCCCAAAACCTGCAATCAACTGGGCTTATTCCGGGATTACCAATACCCCTACCATCAAAATATCCCAAAAGCCTTATATAACAGGGTCTTTGGGCCCAAGAGCCTTAAAATATGAGTCCTTTGAGGGCAAGGGATACCCTTTAGCCCCACAAATCAAGACTGTTGCCAGGGCAGAGAGCAGAGATCCCATGCTCAGCCCGGAAGACTTAAACTTGTAAGGTTTAGTTGGGGTTTAGGGTTTTGGGTTTAGGGTTTTGGGTTTTGGGTTTAGGGTTTAGGGTTTAGGGTACTTTGTGTATTTTGGGTATTTTGGTTTCGGCATTAGCATCCCCTATGCCCCCATACCCCGCCCCCCCCCTAGCAGCTAATTCATCAAGCCCAAGACAAGGAACCCTAAACCTTAAACTCAAGGGTCTAAAAGAGGGACTCTCAAAGGGACCCTTGGGGTTATAAAGGGTCTATATGACACGAAAGGAGTGGTATATAAGGGGGAAAAAGGGTATTTGGATTAGGGGTCCCTTCTAGGGGTCCCTCCTATTGTCCCTTAAGTTTAGGGCACAAACCTTAAAGCCTCAACCGTTCTTGATTCCTGAGCTTCGGGAAAGTTTAGTGTTTAGGTCTAAGAAGGCGCCCAAGCATAAACCTTTCGAGTTTAGGGTGTGGGGCTTAGGGTATCCTTACCTCTTTGGCTTACTTAAGGAGGGGGTTGTATGGGACATCCCAACCATATGTTTTGGGTGTAGGTGCTTCTTTTGAGGTCCTATATTAAGGGGCTACAACAGGTAGAGCCAGTAGCTCAAACCCAAAACCCTGAACCTTAAATCCTGAGCACTAAACCCTAAATCCTAAACTACAATGGCAGAAGCCCCAGCGAGACTGATTGCCTACGACATTCAGCAGAAGCCCAAACCCCCAAGGCCCTAAATCTTAAACCCCCAAACCCCTAAACCTTAAACCCCCAAGCCCCTAAACCCCCAAACCCCTAAACCCCCAAACCCCAAACCCCTAAACCCCCAAACCTTAAACACCCAAACCCCCAAACCCCCAAACTCCTAAACCCCCTTAAGCCCTAAGCCCTAAATCAGCACTTACACCGGACGCCCTCAAACCTCAGACTCCAAGCCCCCCCGCCAAAGCCTAAACCGCGACACCCTAAGCCCCTAGAGGCCAGGGTTTACGTAGGGTTTAGGGTTTATAGGGTATAGGGTTTGGGTGTTTTGGGTTTAGGGTAGAGGGTTTAATCCTACGGAACCCATGTCACATTTTTTTGGGATTCGCTGTAAACCCTAAGCCAGTAAACCCCTACAGACCCTGAAGCTCAGGGAGACACACGGGAAGTCTTGGAACCTCGCCATGTTGAAGGCTCTGAGGCGGTGGTCTCACAACGGCACTGGCATGAGGACATCGGGGGTGGGATGTAGGGTTGCGGGTTCTGTAGGGGTTGTGTAAAAAGGGGCCTTAAACAATTAGACAATTAGACTAGGGTTTTGGGTGGGGGTCCAGTATACTATATGTATAATAAGGAACCTCCCGAAAATAGTCTAGGTAGTTATTTGGGCCCCTATATTACTAAATTAAGACATAATGGATTAGGGCTTGGCGGCTTTATCGGGTTTGGGGTGTTGAAGCGCAGGGATCAGGGTTCAGTCCCAAATTGTACGTAGCAGCTTTAACCCAAGCTTCAACCCGAAACTCGTGGATCTAAACCTCACTGACCTCCCCAAGCCTGACCAATGCAGGGGCCTGAATATTTTCAAGAGGGTTTGGGGGGTTCCTTCTTATAACTATAGTAAAATATATCCCAAAACCCTATTCTAATTATTAAACCCTCTATCTTACCATGCTTGCCTCCTCCTCTCCCGAGGAAAAATGGGAAGCACGATGCATGAACGAGGGCCGTTTCAGGGCCTCCGTGGACTACATACAAGCATGCATACATACACGCGTACGCAAATGCGGCAGGCATGGACACACACACACACACACACCCACCCACACACACACACACACGCATGCTTACATACGATCTATATTCGTGCATATACCAAGAGCAGGAACAATACGCCTCAAACCATGGAGCTTTGGGGGACCCCTGAAACAAGCATCGAGCTTCGGATCCGATCCACCGGCGTTGTTCTTCGTGGCTCCCTATGCCCTTAAACCCTAAAGCCCTAAACCCTCAACCCCAAACCCCGAACCCTGAACCCTAAACCCTTCAACCCTAAACCCTAAACCCTTTTAGGATCCTTAACGGGGAGCCTCTTCTTCAAGACCCTTAGGCCTTCAAGGGCACCCCCTCCTTTAATCCATGCACGGGCCTCAATAGCTACTACAGTAGGGTTCTGTCTGTCTGTCTGTATGTATGTATGTATGTATGTATGTATGTATGTATGTATGTATGTAAGTACGTATCGGGTTTAGGGTTATAGGTTTATAACGATGTATGTATGTAAGTACGTATGTATATATGCATGCATGCATGCATGCATGCATGCATGCATGCATGCATGTAACAATGTATGTATAGGGCTTAAGGGTTTAGGGCACGTGTAGGGTTTAGGGTCAGGCTTATAATGTATGTATGTATGTATGTATGTATGTATGTATGCATGCATGTATGTATGTATGTAAGGATAGTGAAATAGATATGAGACAGGTAGACAGACAGCTAGATAGATGAGGACTATATGGGGATGTTAGTACAACGTATTCCGCCCCCTGCATATCATGGTCTGCCCTACCCAAACCCTAACCCTAAACCCCTAAACCCCTAAGCCCCCTACCCTCTACCCTCTACATACCACCCTAAACCCTAAACCCTAAATCCTGAACCCTAAACCCTAAACCCTAAACCACCGTTTTTGCTGGAGGACTGGGGGGAAGCAGCCTTCTGGAGCTGGCTCGAGCATCTGGGCGACGACTCCTGCGCCATCCCCGAACTTCGAACGCGGTTTCGGGGTTTAGGGTTTGGGAATGAGGGTTTGGGGTTTAGGGTTTAGGAATGCGGTTTAGGGTTTAGGGTTTAGGAATTAGGGTTTAGGGTTTAGGATTTAGGGTTGATGTGTGTTTTTAGGTGTGGGGTGACGTGGGGAGGGGGGGGAATGCGTTGTTTGATGCCTTTTTTGGGGTGGGTGGGTGATCGGTATTACACCTGAACCCCAAACCCCTAAACCCTAAACCCCCAAACCCCAAACCCTAGACCCTAGACCCTAAACCCTTAACCCTTAACCCTTAACCCTTAACCCCAAACCCTAAACCCTTAACCCTTAACCCCCAACCCCAAACCCCAAACCCTAGACCCTAAA